TATTCTAATATGATTAGGAAATAAAACCAGATGGAACCATTTTTAAGTATTGTGGGTGGGGTTTTTTTAGGGGTGAATATTTTGGAAAATTTCCAGTTATTAATTATAAGTATGTATACATCCCACTCTTACCCGCCAAGCATTTGAGGCAGCATACACACTGTATAAAGCTACACACAATAAATGACAAGAGAACCAAGGGGAAAGGGCACAAAACTGTCAGACAAGATGGAAGTTTTGCATCTGAGCTTCCTGGCAACCAAGGAAAAAATAAAACTACACAATTATGAGGGGGTCTTACTTTCAGAAAGGCGAAAAAAAGTTTTAAGAGCTGTAATCAGAAGACACTATCCTACTGAAGATAGCCAATATTTTCCCATCAAGCCCTCCATTTGCCCACGTAAATGTGGACCCAGCCGGCAAAGTCTCTCAAGAGAACTCTAAATATAAGAGTTAGTGTCATCGAGAGCAAGGATGCACTTGACGCTGGCACAACATCAGTTTCAGAAGCTTAGGGTCATGCCTAAGAGGCAGCAGGGACCCATTAAGAACAAAGAACTGAGAATCAAACACCCGTTCAAGTCCCACCTTCCCCATCTGTTGGCTGTGTGGCCATGAGCAAATATTTCAGTGTTCTGAGTCCTGGCTCTCTCTCCTCTAAGAAGAAATAATTATACCTAGCTTGGAGAATTGTGATAAGGAAACACCAGAATCTATTTGGCAGATAATTCCATCTGTAAAGCACTAACGACATGTTTGCTATTATTAACCCTCATGTTTTACAGGCCAGACATAGACACATGACATAGCGATGCCCAGCGTGTAGTCATGCATGCTCATCCCAAACGTTCCCACGGAGATTTAATGTGTCCATTGGCATATTGCAGGCCTCAGAAGGCCTACAAATACAATCAAAGCTCCGTTTAGCTTGTTTTAACTCAGCATTTCCAGACTTACTTAGCAACAGGCCCCACTTACTTTTTTTTGCACAACCCCAATTTCATGATTCATCCTAACCCTAACCCAGTGTTCTCAACGAGGGGTGATTTTGCCCCCCAGGAGACATATGGAAATATCTGAACACATTTTGACTATCACTGTGTCTGGGCAGGGGGCAGGGGCAGGGCTCCTGTCTGTTAGTGAGTAGAGGCCAGGGATGCTGTTAAACATGCTATAATGCCCAGGACAATCCCTTCCTCCACAACAAAGAATTACCCAGGTCAAGAAACCCTAAACTAACCCCTTCTTTAAAATATTTACAACCTGTATTTTCTCATAGGGTTAACAGGCTCAGAGATATATGGCATTCATGCACTTGTGGGGGGAGGGGGAGTCCCCCTCAGCCCAGCCTGCTCCCTTGGGGGATGTCCACCTGACAGCTTTAAGCCACCGTTGGACATCCTTAGGGCTGCCACTGAGGCAGGAGAGGCTCCAGTTACCGCCACTGTCAGCCCGGCTTGTGGGTGAGCGGCCTCCCCACTGTGGCAGTGCACTGACCACTAGGGGGCAGCTGCTGTGTTGAGCATCTGCCCCTGGTGGTCAGTGTGTGTCATAGTGACCAGTCATTCTGCCATTCAATCGATTTGCATATTACCCTTTTATTAGATAGGATATTTTATCTTCTATGAGCTATTCTGTCTTTTCTTCTCTCCAATCTGACTTAGTTGGCCTAGTTTCTATATCTATAATGCTCCAGGACTTCATGAACAATCCATGGGCCCAGCTCTCATTCTTGCCGACTCTGATTCAATTGCCTATCAGCACTGTGCTCCTAGGCTCAGTCACAGTTGCACATCTGGTGTCCCCACCAGCTTCCTGCTTCTCTCAGGACTGGCCATCCCGAGTCTTCTCTGAAACAGTAGGTCCTTCTTGAAGTTCACTGACCAGATCCACACCCAATATTCCGGATACAGGAGGCCCTTGCAGTAAGCTGCACGCTTCCTGAAAGAGACCATAAATGACAATTCCCAGCCACAGTCAAGAACCAGAAAATGTCATGTCATAATTATAACTTGGGGAACATCTTTCTCTGTATAATGCATACAAATATCAGCTAAAATATAACCAAGAGGTAACTTCCTTTCCCTTTCTGTGATTAAATGTAAACTCCCCTTCCAGCTCCCATTCTGCTCCATGGCAGAAATTTCATCTCGGTAAATTCAGGATCTCTGTAGATACTCATTCCTCAGGGCTCCTAAACGGGCAGGAGAGGGGTATGCCTGGTCTTCATCTACCCAACTGGTATCACAGTGGAGTCCCTACTCTCACTGCCCTGGCTCTGTTGTCCTGCCTCCTCCTTCTGTCCATCTCTCTGTGCCTCTCCCACTCTCAGAAGCACAGCACCCTGTCCCAAGTTCTCACCCTCCCCTGCGCTTCGAGAAGCTCAGAAGGTTTGTCTGAGGACCTTCACATTCCATACCACTTCTTGACTCACC